AAAAGAAAAGTAAGCGTCGAGCCCTGTGCACAATCATTAAAATAATTGATCAAACACTGCTTCAAGCAATTTAAACCATTCAAGTGCAAGAAGATACAAAAGGGAACGTTACACGTGTTTTCTTTTCACGCGCACACAAAGCCACATCTCTGACAGCACAAACACAGAATTGAGTTCTTTCACATCTACGTGTGCTTGAATGGACAAATATGCACAATTGTCAAATACTGGTCTTGCCGAGTATTCTTGTAACTCGGTCTGTTAATCAGATGTGTATCAATACATTGGTCTGTGTATTAGTTCTTAAAGTGACAGCAGCGTGTACTGTACTCACTCCTTTCAATGTCATTGACTTTAATCAAACAAAAGACAAAGAAAATCTCATTGCAATTGACCAAATAACTTTTGCAGCTTTAACAAGGATTAATTTATATTTAATTTACATAATGATATACGTCACAATAAAATGTAAACTAATAAGTTAAAGTATTCGGAGATTTACTCTGCAGGTCTTGATGCTCAATTCTGACTTGTTGCCTATATCCGATTTTTTTTTTTTTTTTGCCCCATCTGTTTACACGTTCTTTCAATTGAGTCCCATATCCGATTCATGCATTTACACTTGCCATACCATCTGAAACATTGCGTTGTCATTTACCGCCTGCACATGTGCTTCCTCCTGAGAATAATGTGACCTGTGCTGACAAAACCAGTCACAATGAGCAATTAAAAAAAATGACATTCTCCATTAAAAGATCTTAAAAATTATTTGATTTGTTGGAACCTGACAAAAAAAATGACTGAGCGACACCTGTTTGAAGTCGATAGAAGTCCTTCGTCTTCTCTTATTAATTACTATATTAATAATCACAATATAGCTATTTTATTTCATCTTTGCTATTATAAATAAGAACAGATGCCAAAAAAAAAAACTGTAAAACAAATAGCCTAGAAAGAAACAAATAATGCATTGCCTTTTATCATTTTATATCTAAAGTAAAGCATAATGTACAAAAAACAAATAATCAAATATAAAAATGTGTTCATTACATTTTTATAATCAAATATAAAAATGTAATGAACACATTTTTATATTTGATTACATTTATTAAAACTACAGAAGCAGTTCAATGAAGTGCAGGAAGTGATTTCCTCTTTTATTGTGAGATTAACATCGAGACAGACGTCCTATACTGTAATGCACGGATCTAATATAATGTTGCACATCAGATGTTTTTCCAGAACAGATTGTTTGCATGAATACTGTAATTCTGTATGCATTTATCAGGATCGCGCAGCGTTATATGCACGCACTTCGGATGAAAGTCAGCGTGAGAAGCGAGCAGAGAAAGGTAATCCTCTCAGAAAATGTACAAAAAGATAATTTTAGATATTTAATCACTACTTGGAGCATTTTTCTTTTTTTTTTTTGCTTGTATCTAAAAATAGCCAGTGCGAATTTACACATTTTGCCAGCACGGGTCACATGACGTCATTAAACAGCAGGAAAGTACGTGTGTGTGTAATCTGCCCAAAATAATGAAACCATCCGTGATTGATTAACTAGTGGAAAACCTCCCCTGGCCCTACACGTTTGGTAACTGCTGGCTCTGTGCGCGCGAGAGCTGGACTGTATCTGGTGATAACTGTTATCAACTGATAACAGGTAATGCTCTCACGCAACCATTCAGATTAGAGTAGCAGACTTTAGTCAGGGTAGTGCCTTTAAAAAAAAAAACAAGGCTGTGAGGGACAGGAGTACAGAGTTTTCAATGGGTTGTACAGTGTTACGGCCAAAGCCATAACATAATGAGGGACAACATAAAAGGCTCGGTTCATAGGGAAATTTATTTAAAGTAAAGGCTTAACGTAAAGTGGGGAGAGAAAAGGATCGGGTAAACCAAGGAGAGTGCAGCTGGACTGCTGCTGGGAACGCCGCCGCCTCAATCTGGTCAAGAGACGTCTTAAAGGCCCGCTTAGTCCACAGTTGTAGGGAACCTAATCACAAAACAGATACAAAATCAGGTTGAGAGTAAAAATCAGCAACTTGTATCAATGATGACTACAGGTTCAAATCTAGAACTAGTATGAAAATAGTGTTAGTTACTAGGGGTCGATAGGTTTTTCAAGGTCGATACCGATTATTACAGATCAAGTAGACTGAGAACCGATATGTGTCTGATGTAAAAATGAAAATGTCAATTAAGAATAATAAGGGCTTTGACACAAACTGCCTTCCCTGGTGTTGTTGAGTGTAGTACTCCCACTGTAAACGCTTTATTTTTTTTGGGTGAACAAAGGGTTTACCATTAATTAAAACATGGAAGAAATGGCGTATTGTGGATTTTATTCTTTTAAATAAAAGTTGTTGTAGTCGGGGGTTAAAGCAAAAAAAAAATTTGGCTGAATTTATCCTCGGCCAAACCCCGTTCCTCAGCCATACCGGTCACGCACCCAGTTTAAGAGCAGTGTTTTTCTTGTAATCAAGAGCGCTTGTCCTCCTAATTTAAACAATTCTGATCAATCAAAAATTCTGATATTAGCCTTCCTAATGAGGTGAAGTGATTAACGGGGCATTTTCTTTTTACCTTTTGCAATGGCATTTTCATCTGTAAAATTCTAAGATTTATGTTTAAGCTTTTTAAAATTTATATTTAAAACTATATGATAAGTAGAATAAGACATAAGTTACCAATCATGAAATTAGTATTAATGAGAAATTAATTTGTACTACAGAGGTGGCACAGAAGAACACAAGTGGTTTGTAGGTGTATTTTCAGACATTCAATGAGGCTCAGAGGTCGCATGAGTGCAATTAAATTCATGTGGAGATTACAATTTTGAATACAGAAATATTACATTTAAATAACTGCAATTATACCTGAAACTGCCAGCAGGTGGTGGCAAATCACAGATTATCACTGAATCATTCATTCAATTGGTTCGTTTGAACTGCTTGTTCATTCAGAAATGAAGCACGTGACTGTCTTTATGAATGGGTAATCATGAATCACTGACTCACTGGATTTGTTCAAAAATGCACTCATGAATGAACACCGCTGTGTTTGCTTTTAGAAATGCGCAGCGGCTGAGCTGTTACTTTATTTGGAACTATTTTCGTTGGTGAAATCGAGCAAAATCAGGCAGTACATGTTTATTGAACTTGTATTAAGTCAATATCGCATTTGCAAACTCTATTAAAATCTGTCACTCTCCTTATGGCGATCTGTGGGCGCACAGAAAATGAGAGTTCTCAAGACTCAAAAGCACGTGCAAATGATAAGATCCGTCATCTGTCATCGCGTTAAGCGCGGAATGAGTAGAATTATTATTACGGTAATAGCCGCAATCCTGCACCTGAAATTCAAGTCCTACTCTGTTTTCTGCTAATAACCCGACTGTGCATGATGCAGGCGTTATGTTGTCAGTGAGAAGCTGCAGCCGTGGCGGGGAGGATGTTTGGTGTGCTGGTGTTCTGACAAATAATGCTACCTATCAGATTATGCTACCAACAAATCGTCAGAACACCGGCAGAACAACAATGTGCTACATGTTTCTTTTCCCCTCGTTTTTTCCAATTGACGGAAATCTGTCGTAGCGATGGAAAACTTTAATTCCTTAGTATTATGTACATCATACACACAGTAATATATTTCTGATAATTTCATTAAGCTAACCCGAACTTATATTTTGACATGAGGATCTTTGTTTCTGTAGGTCTATGTAAAAGAGTTTTACTCCAATGAAAGTGTCAATGCTCATGAAGTGAGGAGTCAGAGCAGTTCTGTAGGTGTTCATGTATTTATGTCCTCCTATAGTGAGACGACAGAAGCTGAAATCAC